AGCGGAGCATCGACGACTTCTTGTGATCAAAACGACATGTTTTTTCCGGACATGAGACCTACGACGCGTTTTTGCGATTTGACAGCGTTCGAATTCAGTGCCACCATGTCACAGTGCTGCGGTCAAGCTTTACTGTATATTTTAATTAGTAAGTGAGAACATCCTCTCTTGCCGCTTCGACTGCTCGCTTCTCAGATTACTTGCTTATATTACACAGCTATCGCTCATTTCTCAGGGTTGTTCCTCCATTCTACATTTTATTGAGTGTAAATATTACGAGTTTCGACGCCGACAATTGTATACACCTACAGTATGACTATTAGAGAATTGGTCCAGTAGTTTCTGTGTGCCGGCCCTTAGTTCTTCTTCTTTCTGTCCACTATGGGGGCTGATGGATTTGTAGCGTTGCAAAATTTCTTAAAATATCAGTGTTGTTCTTGTTACAGAAGGCAACGAGGATATCGACTGTTTAAGGTATTTTTTCAATCTTTGTTTCACACGTGAACTCTTCTAAACCGTTTCGTTTGCATAATCGTTCTGGTGATCAAGTGGCCGAGCCGAAATAGTACTGACTCCAGGGCGGTGAGGTAGCCATGGTTTCGTTGAGTAAACTTACTCTGTATGTTGTCATGCTGTTTTTTCCTTTGATGGCAGCCTGTTGTCGCTCTAAACGGCAAACGACCTTAGCTTGGCAAACGAACAGCTTGGATTAGATTGAAATGAGTAGTGCGGACGAACAGAACTTACTGTATTTTCCAACCGTTTTCCTGTTCTAAGGTTGCAGAAATCGGTTCGAAAGGCGTTTCTTCAAGTGTCATTTGGAAACGGTGTCTTTTTTTCAGGGATTTCATGCTTTCTGGTATGCTTTTATGGTTGAATGCCTTATGAAATGAATGAATAAACGTGTTTTAAGGAAATTTCTGCCAGTCAGCCTGGACGTAATGCTTTTATTTACGAAATGCGTCGACTGTATTTAAAAAGCATTGCTCATCATTTCGGCTGTTAGTCATGTATCAAGATACCATTCGATTGAACGCAGGGTGCCGTTTCCTCTCCTTTGGAAGACGAGGGGATTTCACACAACAGCGTTTTCATGTGTTCATCCATCATCTGGAATTGATTACGTCAGATACTCTCTATCCGAAAGTTTCCCAAAATAAGTATCACCATCAGCTACCGGGATGCTACAAATTTGAGGACGGAATTCAAAGAAGTTT